GGCTGGGGAAAACAGCTGGATACAGCAATGCCCGTGGGGCTGCTCCTGTCTGTAAAACAGGAACAGCAGTGCTGATCTGCAGCTCTCATAAAAATGTTGCACGAGCTAATCCCACTCCCCTTAACAAACCTCACACCTTTCAGGCAGATCGGAAGGGGGGAAGTTTTATCCCTCCTCAGAACATCAGCATGCCCTGCTGTCTCGTGAGCGGCTCTTTCCTCCGCAGCGTGCCTGTGACGCAGGCATTTTGGCGATGCCACGTTGCCCCATCGGTTTGCCCCGAGGCTGGGTGCCTCCCCCACCCACCGCGGGGGGCGCCGCACGGCGGTGGCTCCTGGCATCCATGGCCGTGCAGATAAATAGCATTTCTGGTGATAGCTCCCATCTCCTTCCCCAGCTCAGCACGCCAAGTTTCAGCCCTCACAGTCCAGCACGTACCAGCCCATAGGGACCCCCTTCTCCATCCAGTATGGGACCGGCAGTTTGACGGGGGTCATCGGATCTGACCAAGTAGTCGTGAGTCATCTTTGGTTTCTCCTGCTCTGGACAATGTGCCTGGAACTTGCCTACAGACTCAGCGTCACCATTGAGCCTCCTCCTCCCCGCAGGTTGAGGGCCTCACCGTGAGCAACCAGCAGTTTGCAGAGAGCGTCAGTGAGCCGGGAAAAACCTTCCTGGACGCCGAGTTTGATGGGATCCTGGGGCTGGCTTACCCCTCGCTGGCCGTGGATGGGGTCACCCCCGTCTTCGACAACATGATGGCACAAAATCTGGTGGAGCTGCCCATGTTCTCCGTCTACATGAGCACGTACGGACACGGCTTTGCTCCGGGCTGTTGCTTAGACTCGGGCATTGCTTTTAGCAGGGGCTGCTAAAATAAGGATGTTTTACTGAGATTGTAGAGGGGGGTTTTGGCACCACAGACCTGAGGCCTTACAGGAATAAAGCAAATGACCCTAAGTATTTGTGGGAAGAGAGTGGGTACAAATCCACCCATTTAAAACATGTAAAAGAGAGAAAAATCCCTCACGTCTCCTTCTCCTCCCACCAGGAACCCCGAATCCTCCCTGGGAGGAGAGCTGCTCTTTGGTGGCTTTGACCCCTCTCGCTTCACAGGGACCCTGAACTGGGTGCCAGTCACCCAGCAAGGATACTGGCAGATCCAGGTGGACAAGTGAGTGGTGCTGGGCAGGGAGGGAAGGGTTGGGCTGGGGCGGGGGAGCAGGACAAGCCCCTCCTGGTCCTTCTCTCTTTCCTCCTCCTCCAGCATCCAGGTGGGTGGGACAGTGGCTTTCTGCGCGAACGGCTGCCAGGCCATCGTGGACACCGGGACGTCACTCATCACAGGTCCCACCAAGGATATAAAAGAATTGCAAAGCTATATTGGTGCCACGCCTGTGGACGGAGAGGTAAGAGGGAGGGTGGGGAGAGGAGGGGGCCAAGCCCCAGGACCCCCACCCTGCTGGGAGGGACCTCCCATGGAGCAGCAGCACTGAGCCGCCCGGCTGTTTTGCAGTACGCCATGGTGTGCAGCAACCTCAGCGTGATGCCCGACGTGACCTTCACCATCAACGGGCTCCCCTACACGCTCAGCGCCCAGGCCTACACCCTCATGGTACGGCTGGGG